GTAAGTGTTTATTAAAAATGTGCTTGCACAACCATAAAATTCATTAGCCCCAAGCATTGTCTGCCCCTGCTAGCTGGTGGTACAGCTTTTTTTTTTTTTGTTGGTTGTGGTGGTGGGTTACTATGCGTTTACGAACATATCACTTGGGTTAGAAAGTGCTTAAAACTATACCACATCTAAAACATACACCTATTTTTGGCATGCTGCTTCTTTAATATTTTATATCAATGATATATATCTTTAAAAGCTAATCTGCATGTGCAATGTGAGTGTACAATGATAATTAATATGTCCAAAATGAAACATATGCATGAATTCTTACACCTAATTTTCACAAACAGACAATAAACATGCAGGTTTTTACTATCAAAAAAGAATATTTTACACAAATAATTATAAGTCAAATAAAACTTTGAATAAATAGGCAACAATGTTGTAAATTTATAATACTTAAACATTCAAAATAAGTCTAGTCAGAGCCTGCTTGCTTCAGCAAAGTGTTCAATTTCCAGGATAAATGTACTCATAGCACACAGTGAATAGTAGTAATGCAAAATCAGGTAAAATAATTCAACATAGATGCACTTACTAGACTTCAGCCAGTTTCATGTCTGATCAACATTTGTGAGCATCAGTCTTAAAATAATTACATCCTCCGTGATCATTTAATCTTTGGCCCATCTGACCTGTGACCTAATTTTACACTTGATTGATACATGTACAACACAGGTGACTTGACCTAGTTCTGTATCCGCCCCAGACGGTGATTGAAGCACTGAGATGTTTTATATTTAAAGCTATATTTATCATAATGATGTTATCATAAGTCTAATGAATCAAACCTTTTGAATATCTAATGTACCCAAGGCACCGTGTCAATTATATCTTCTTTATGATATTACATATGCCGGCTTAAGTGCACGTACAAGGACATGCATAGAAAAATATGTATGCTAGTTATTTTTAAATACTTAAAACTCAATATAATGAATGCACCAAATAAAAGATAGACAGGTTATAGCCGATTTTGTCTTTCTTATTAGTTCAATTTCTTTTACTACTTTTTGTTGTAGTTGAAATTAAGAAATCTTCAGGTCTTTTCCTATTCTGTATAACTATCAAATTATGTATATAAATTCGGTTCATCAAATCTAAAGAACTATATGCGGTATATTGCATATGTTTGCCCCCACAAAAGTCAAATTTTGAAAACTTCCTGAAATGTGCTGAATTCAATAAATTGTACGAGAAATATAAGTTAACAGAAAATATTATAGTTCCAGAGCAGTGTATTCACAATTTCTGTTTTATGATATTACATTTTATATCCTTTTTCAGAAAGAGGACAAAATGGACAAAATTTCAACAATTTAAGCTTTAAAATTATTTGTGTTCAAACAATATTGACATATTTCATTGATATTATCATTCTACACATTATATCAAAATATTTATCCTGAACACACATAGCGCTCGGTGATTTTATCTTTCTTATCGACGAAATATGTACATTTTTCTTTCATAAAAAACTTTTTACGTTGTGACGTTTACGACATATGACGTCATTACTTATGAAATTATTCAGTGCTTTGAAGTCAGCATATACTTGTTTAAGGACTTAATTAAATATTACTCCATCAAAGTTTGATTTTGGGGGGCAAATGTTGGTTAATACCGCATATAGTTCTTTAAAACAGTAACTAAACAAAGAATATGAAAAATTCAGATAAAAACATTCCTTAACAGTACTTTATTTTTTTAAGTTGGTTAAGATTAATGAAATAATACTTAATTGTAAATTTTTTTTATATTGATAGATATTCATTGTTGCAATAATTCTAATTCTGCTTCAAATGGTAAATTTAAATATTTCAGTTCGGTACATTGTCCCTTGATTTCGATTCGTTTCAGGTTTGATTTTTTTTGTCTTCCCGCTGAAAGTGGGGGATATTAATTTCAGTCTGTCTCTCCGTCTGTCTGTAGTTCTGTCTGCCTGTAACACTTTTTATTTCAACACTTTATCTCGAGAAGCCTTTGAGCTTTTGCAGTAAAATTTTACACAGTTAACTCCCTATGGCCTAAGATTTTGAGGTCAAAAAGTCAAAGGTCAAGATCACAAATTCAAAAATCCTGCCTGTTTAATCACTTTTGTTACCTTGAGAAGCGTTTGAGCTTTTGCAATGACATTTTATTCCACAACTCCTTATGGAATACCTCTATTGATTTTGAGGTCAAAAGGTCAAGGTTGTTAATTCAAACATTCTGTGCATGTGCACGAGTAGGTGATGCTTTTATACCATAACTCTCTATGCCCCTCCAGCCCTCATTAAAGCGTCCCAATCCCTTTGACCCCCCTCCCATGGGTCAGCACATTCTCTTTGTTTTTCCTATAAAGGGGGACAAATATTCTCTGAATAAATGGTTTTCCATTATTGTGATTTTGATTTTAATTCAACATTTTTAAGATTGTTCAAATTTTTTCCCATATGTTTCTGGCATGCATGTTTTAAATTGGTTGCTCAAAGAGGAAAATTCACTACTTTGCCCAACGGGATGGCGGCCAAGGGGAATAATTCCGAGCCAAAGATGTCATAGGAAAACCATCTATTAGCTTGTTTAGACTAACATCCACTGCTGATAGGTGCATTTCGATTGGTTAAGCGATGGAAACGATGGCAAATCAAACATAAAAAAACAAAACAAAAATGGCAACAAGAAGTCAACGAGCACTACTTCCATTTTTTACAGAAAGTTGCCACAGAAAATATGTGCATTTAGGCAACACCCATCAGCGGCAGCCACAAAATTCTGACTTTAGACGATCTGACACAGTGCTGCAAAATTTCTTATTTCTTTTTAATATTGACAATGTTTTGAACATGAAATTGATGACTGTGCATCTTGTTATGACAGCAATGTGTTTCTGCAGTTTGGTATCGTATTGGTTAATCAAAATTTGATTCAAAAATTTAAATAACATCAGGGAAGCTTTTGTAAATACAACATCTGTACTTTTATGCTAAGCATATGCAAGAAGGTTCTATTTCTTATAATTGAATCAAAATTATTTGAAAATAAAGGTTTTTGTCCAAACGAATTTGATTCCAACATTTTCTGATTCATGGCAGCCCTAATTTAGTCATTTTATAAAAGGACATTTTCATATACATTTGACCCTTAAGTCTTCCATACATATTACTGGGTATCACAACTGCAAAATCATATCATGATATGCTGCAATATTTTTTCTTTAAATTTTGTATTGTAAAATATGTTAACAAATTCAAATTTAATTTTAAATTTTCTTCTCTCTTTTTTCTAATATGAAAACATGAATGCAAATATCATGTGTTCTCGGATTGCAATCATTTTCTGGCTGTGTTGTGCTGGCGCATGTTGCTAGCCGAGTTTGTTGTGCTTAATATTTGTGTCACAACTGTCACATACAGCTTTAACTTTAAGTGTTTTCATATAGCATTATTTTTTCTTTATATTTTTAATCAGTTCTTTGCTATTTGCCATCATATTTTACAATTACAAGGGCAAATAACTCTCCTTATAATATAAGCTTTTATTGAATATATAAAAGCCTTACTTGTTTTCATGGGGAAAAACAACCTGCTCCAATATGCAGTGTGTACAAGAAAATCAGGATTCACCAGTTAACTGGTAATGTATTGCACAGCACTAATATTATATTAGCAAACTCCACCACGCACATTGATTATGCTTGCAAATTGCATACATAAAAATGTCTTTGAAATTTTGTCTCTTTGGAATGTTCTCTGTCATACAGAAGCAAGTTCTGAATCCTTATTTTGTATCTCATATCCCTTACCTTTTACACAAAACATACAAAAAGAAAAGCACCAAAACATTCAGACCAATTCTAGATTTCTTTGTTCTTCCCTTGGTGATAGTTTCCAAACTCATAATAAAAGTAATTTTTGGAACTGTCCTTTGATCCCTTATCTATATTAATAACATTATTAGAAAGGAACTTATCTCCAAATAAAAATATATCCAGAATTTTGACCAAAGAAAATATGCATTTTTTTTTATCCATGGTTTAATGTGTGGAAAGCATCAAATGACAAGCTTAAATATTACATTGCAATAATTAATATAGATATAAAATTAAAATAATAATTTCAGCACATTCTGCTATAATCTTATTTTACTAACTGAAAATTTTACTTTGATATTGGAAACTGGCATATATTAATATGTAAAATAAAATTGAATGTGTTTATTTGGCTGGTGGCCAGTTCTTAGAGAAAACACTGTATTTTTAATTTACAAAAAAATCTGAGATTAATCTTTGTATTTCTTTAGCTTTTTAAATGATAATTATTTTGACTTGCATTTTTGTACAAACAAGTTCACAGTACAATCTGAACAGTCCTCATTCTTTTTCTTTTTTTTATCTAATAAGTAATGTTTGCTATGGCCTATGCCAATCTATGTTGAGATAGAATGCAACTGACAAAAACTGATTTTGATAATTAATTCTGCAATTTTCATGCCACACCAAATTTTAATTATTGCATAAAACAATACTAAGGCATTTCTAAAAAAAAATATTTAAATTAATGATAGGAATCATTTCCATCAATTTCATATATTTGAGTGTGATGTCCAGTTTAAAACCAGACGTCCGTTTAATCACGACAGACGACTTGCATGTTTAAAGTCTGACCATAGGATCATAGCAGACGACTATGTCACTCTGACCTTCCATAAAATACCACACGTTCCATCCAACTTGCCTTTTCAAAAGCACAATTCCATTCAAATGTGACAATCTTATAGATATCTGGAAGTCACTTCACCATTTCAGTTACATCTGCCTGCACTCCTGTTCCGTCAGTTGACATTGAGTGACACAGACAGACCTCAGACTGTCTGGGTTTTGTTTACCGTCTCGATACTGAATATAAACAAACTTTTGAACTTTACTTAAGATTTGTTGAACAAAAGTACAGGAAATCGCCACTTACCGTTAGCTACAACTGTATTATATAACAAGAGAGCTGTAAAGAGAAGGAATAAAATTTTCAACATATAATGTAATTTTTTTGTTAAAAAAAAAGTCTACAGGAAGTGAGTCTGAAATTGACCGGAAGTTACTGAGAAAGTGCTACTTACCAAACAGGCCAAAACAAAAAAGCATGTCGGGGAAGATAGAAACCTTCCTATGTCATGGAGATGCATATATTACAGGTCCTACATTTAGGTGCATTATCAATCCACACCATCGGAGCACATTAGCAGACATTGTCTCACTGTAGCGCCATAACTTGTGGCTTCGTGCGCACTCGTCTGTCTGCGCATTTGTAAGACGGCTGTCAAGCCTTCTGTCTGCAGTGCGTTAAAATTAGGTCACAACATGCAACTATACACATGTTGTGTATTAGCAGTAGTAAAAATAAATTTTGAACTATTTTTAGAATGTATATGGCATGTTTCGTACTTTTAGTACTAGTAGTTAAGGAATTTAAATGAAACATTTGCCATAAATGTAATATCATATTTAGGAGATTATTATTTAGTAATTCCTGATTGGTTTTAGACATAATCTTTAATTCATAATTAAACTTTTGTTTTATATACGGCCAATGTAGTTTATAAATAGAGAATTTATATTCTCTCTTTATTTATTTCTTTGTTAATAATTTCTTTCTTTCTTATCATTTTGCGGCATTTTTACACATATTTTCCCATTTTCGCACGTAATAATTCTAAAGTTTACTTAAAATGATATAACTATATATATATAAATACATAACAAATAGTAATAGTACTGTAGTAATTTTATGTTTACTTGCTTGCTATTGTCTGCTGATTTCTACTCTAGTCTGTTCTTTGAAGTGTATAACAGTTTGGTTTTTCCTTTGTATTGTTTTATCATAAATTATTATATGGGATACTTATATATTCCATTGTGAACCATACCAATATTCAAGTGTGAGAGCTTTTGCAAGTGAGGACACAGACACTTGTTTCGTACATACGAGGTACCCCCTACTTATTTCGTGGTAAACTTGAAATAAGTAGGGGTGGCGCGCTGTGTACGAAACAAGTGTCTGTGAGTTAGGATCAGGCCAATATTCCACCAGCAGCAACCATTACCTGTTAATGCTGTTATAATCAGAATTATATTGTTTTTAATTGTATATACCCCTCGATGGCCCTTGACATTGGTGAATAATGATAGTAAATAGTGTTAAATAATATAAAGTACTCGAGATCTATTTCTATATCGAAATCTTCTTGAATGTAGCTTAACTTTTATTTTAACATCCGAAATTAACTTTCTTAATGACTCTACGCACCAGTTGCCCGATGTCAGGAATGAATATTTTGTTTTAAAAAAAATCACTGTGAAATATATCTAGATATAAGACATATATCATGTTATGCTTTCACTTCTCGCAGTCTAAAACAATATCATAATAAAGGTAATTGTTTATTTTCAAGAATTCTAATTTTAAAAAAAATAATGTCTGCCCTCTAATATACTTAGTATACCATGTGTCATTTTCTTTATTTAAAAATATGTTCGACGGATATTCACGTACTTTTCCTTTGCTAAGAAGTCCAACATACCGAATATTTATATAACAATGTGCAAAATGTTTCGGTATTTCTAATAATTTTTAGGACAGTTTAATTTGAACATTTGCACGTATGTGATTGAATATAAAAAAATTATACTCCTAAAAAGCTTTTTTTTTCTTTGACACAATTTATTTTATTTGAAAGGATGTATTTTTGGAAGGGGGTATTAAAACCACGTTTTACCTCAGTCTTGAAAGCATGTGAATAGTAAACGGAGATGTTTAACTATAAGTTTAGAAATTTTATCAAACACCTTTTTAATTTCCTTGTACGAATGTGATACAATTTAAAAATCACGATATAAACTAGCTCTGTAAAAAGAATTGCCTCACAATCACAACTTTAGTGCGCTCACAGATGTCTTTATTTCAGCAAAAGGCCATATAAGAGACACTGGTACAGAAAAAAAAAACACGCAAAAAAAACCCACACACAATTTCACACAATTTAATCCTACTTGATAGATTAAAAGAGAACAGCTGCTCATCTAAAAATTACTTCTGTATTATATATAGTAAATTTCTCTTGTGTCTAGGTCATCTATTTCAAGTAATACAAAGAAAGGACAATCTGAGACTTCGTCCTTATTCCAACCTCATCCTCATCTTGCATGGAACGTTTTTTTTAATTTTTATTTTTTTTATTATTATTTTTTTTTTCAGAAAAGACAAATAACTTATGAACAATGCATGGCTACGCCCAGGGGCAAAGGTGGGATAGGGGGCATACATATCCTGGTCAAGCCTTGTGCCCTTTACACCTCTAACTTCACTGGCCTTCATCGACATCACAACGTATACATGGTATAATGCCGATGATGAAAGGTTAAAAATCTGACTTGAAGGTCCAAGTGAAAGACTAAGGGAAGAAACCCTGACAGAAATATTATGGCGAGGAGGTACAGGCAAAACTCAAAGGGTAAAGAAAACTAACAAGGATCGATTTTTTTTTACATCTTCCCAAGTCAAGTCAAGGGTTTCTGATCCACTCCGCTCCACAAAAAAACATGTGGAGCGGTGTGGATCAGAAACCCTTGACTTCAGTGGAAAAATGATTTTTTAAAAAAGTTTGAACAATTAATTTTAAATCTGGAAATTGAACACGGATAATGGAATTTCCAGAGATGTGTTCAGTAGCCTGTCAGGAGAAAGCATCCATTGTTGACCTGGACATCCATCGTGAGCCCTATACATGTAGTGATCAAGCATGTAACTAAGGAACAGCCGTAATAAAATTTAGTTTAAACTAGAGATACTTGAAAAGCGGGAGGGTATACAGTAGTCGGGACATCCGTCCGTCTATTACTCTTTGGGGTACCCATCTCTTACCTGCAACTCCTCTTTTACCACGAAATGAAATTTGATGAGACTTTCAGAGAATCTTTATTATATAATGCCACTGTGACCTCCTATTTTACTTTTTGATCCGACACATAATTTACGTTTTCCATAGCAAAACATGGACACTTTCATTATATTCATATGGGAGGCGGGTATCATTTAATGAGCTCATTGCTCACAGTGCCTTTAGTTTATATAGTGCCATTGTACATCTCCTATTTTATTTTATGATCGGACACATATTTTAGGTTTCCCAGAGTATACGCGATAAGCCCGACAAAATCAAATGGATACGACATATTCTATATCATAAAGAATACTCGGGAGGATGGGTGTGTTTAGTTCATTTAGACTGAAATGATTTCAATATATTCTTGATAATTTTTAAGATAGTTTAATTTGAACATTTGCATGTAAGTGATTGAATATGAGAGAAGATACTCCCAAATCACTGGCGGATTTAGGGGGGGGGGTGTACCCCCCCTCATATTTTCATATATGAATAATATTAATAATGCCATACTTTGGTAAAATACCACTATTTTTGTGCCTATTTTTACATGAAAACTCAATAGCTTCCGGGAGCTTCACCCCCTGGGTCCCCTTCATTCAAAGTATGATATGACTAGTATTACTAATATCATACTTTGGTACATATAACTAACCAATACCACTATTATTTTGCGCGGTTTTATTCTTAAAATACACGAAAACCCTAAAGTTTCCGGGGGCTTCGCCCCCTGGCCCCCACCAAGGCTTCGCCCTGGACCCATTGGGGGTGTTAAAGCGGCCCCCAGACCCCTTGCCTGAACGAAGCTATCCACCCCCTAATCACGAATCCTGTATCCGCCCATGCAAATGGCAATTTTTCATTGAAATAGTTTTATTTTATTTGGAAATATGTATTTTTTTTATGTGGGGCATATAAGCACCACATTTTAGCTGAGCTTTGAAAGCATATGACTTGAAGACCGAGATGTTTAACTATAAGTTTAGAAATTTATCAAACATCTTTTTCATTTCCTCATATGACGTCAGTAATCACAACGTTATTGCACTCGCAGATATCTTCATAAAAGACATTGGTACACTTTCAGATATCTTTGTTAGAAAAGAAAGAAAGAAAAAGACATTAAAAAATATAACAAACACACACATATGCATGTATACATTGCCAAGATTTAATCCTTCTCGGTAGACAACGAACAGCTGCTCAACTAAAAATTACTTTGTACTATATTATCTATATATAGTAAATTTCTCGTGTCCAGGTCTTCTTTTTCAAGTAATTCAAAGAATTAAAGGACAATCTGAAACTTCGTCCTTATTCCCACTAAGTAATCCTCGTCTTGGAACTTGGCATAGATATTGTTATGATTAATCTGTATACCAAATTTCATTACCTTCAATATATATATAAGCAACCTCTGCAAAGAAAAGGGGCATAATTGACTCTATCCAAAATGACCCAATCTTTCCCAAAATATAACTTAACCATTGAATATAGATTTTCTTATGATAAATCTGTATTCCAAATTTTATTTTGATATAAGCAACCTCTGCTAAAAAAATTGGAATTGAAGTCCAAGGGGCATAACTCTAAAAAATGACTCGATCATCCCCAAAACAGAACATCCATCAGTACTGTCTGTCCATATCAAAGATCTTTTTCTTGTTCATCATGTTAACTGTTCACATGTTTACTTGTTCATTTATTAAATTCTTGTTGTACTAACATACCCCATGTGGGGGCTTTAGTGAAATAAAAAGTTTCAAGTTTCAAGTTTCAGAACTTGACCCATAGATATTCATATGATAATTTTGTTTACCAAATTTCATTTTAATATAAACAGCCTCTGCAAAGAAAATAAATGGAAACTGCAAAGTAATTGCAATTTTTCTAAGTCCAAGGGATATAACTCTGTCCAAAATGGCCCTATGGTACCCCAATTAAAACTTGACCTACGTAATTTTTATGTTAAATCTGTATACCAAACTTTAATTCAATATGTGCAACCTCTGTGAAGAAAATGAACGGAAACTGATGTTGGACCGACAGAACGAATGACCGACAGGCAGTATGGGGGGCGCCGTTTTAATATTTTTATTAAAGGTATTTTCTGATATCAGAAAATGATCTTTGATATAAGAAATTTGATTTTTTTATATATCAAAAAATCGTTTTCTAATTTTTTCTGGTATCAGAAAATAATTTTTTGATATCAAGAATCATCTTCGCTAGCCAAGGGTTTCTGTAATCGGTTCATGAGGAGAGTAGCGTATCAGAAACCCTTGGCTAGCAAAGATGCAACACTTTATACAACCATTTCCTACAATAAATCAATTTCCAGGCTTTTTGACA